TTGTGATTAGTTACATATATATATATACATACAGAGAGACACAGAACACAATGGGTGCGCACGCGTGCATGCATGTATGTACAATACACACATACGTGCGATCTTGTTTGTTTTCAGTTCTTTTTTCACGTATATATATATATATACATACATATACTATATACACATACACGGAGACATTACACGTACACGTTACATATACATATATTTTATGATTGTCGTTGTTGAATTCGTCGCATTACATAGGGTTTTACCCCCGTCCATCGCCGCAGTAGTAAACGTACTGGATAGGACCGTAGCTGAGAGAAATCCGGATTTTACGAGGTATATAAACAGAGACGAGAAAATGAAACCTAGGTTACCGCAAAGATACCTTAGTGGGGAAAGGATTGACGAAAAAAAAATTATAATAATACGGTGAATATTATATACATAACACAACTATTATACTTACTATATACATACACGCGCATATAAATATGTAAAGGTTCTAACGTTGTATACGTACGGGGTGTGTGTGTGTGTGTGTGTGTGTGTGTGTGTGTGAGAGAGAGGGAGAGGATGGGATGAATTTTATAACGGTAACACGCTTTCTTTCGCTCGTGCGTACGAACACATCATGTCCGTTGTCGTTCTTGTTTTAACCCTTTCTCTGCCCTCTGGTACACGCGTCCAACTCGACGTTTGGGACACAAAACTCGCGGTCACCTTCGGACCACCGTTCTGGCTTCGAAATCGTCGTGAATTCTCTCGATTCAGCCCTTCAACCAGTCGCGTTCGTTTAACTCTTTCTTTTCCGTCAGCTTACTCTTCTTGGGATCGAAACTTTACGCGACGATCGCTCCGTTGCACTAGTCGCCCCTTTCGGAACGGAAAATTATTTTTACGAAATTGCAATCGGCGAAAACGATAAAACAATAACCAATGTAATTTTAGGTTGTTAGGCTTCTATTTTTTTTTCTTCTTAAGGACCAGCACTCTGGGCATGAGAACACATGGCAAGGAGAGGGTTAAGTCCGAACGTACAAGGACCGATTCTGTTTCTCGCGGATATTTAGGGTACATGCGATTAGACGAAACCCGCATAGCACGTACATTATATAATATACACATAAATATAAATATTATGAATTTTACTACGGATTGCAGCGTGTGTACGTGCAATTTGCTCGAGAAACAACGAGGTCTCGTACAACCGTTCGATTTGACGACTTTTTGTGATACCTGTCGAAATATTATAAACGGCAAATCGATCTTCGAAGGGGGTAGGGAGGGGGGAGGGGGTGGACAAAACGCAAAAAAAAAAAAAAAGAATATATGCTGCACCAACGACCACGTGTTATTTACACTTCACCGCGCGCAGGTATGATTTTGGGCTTATACCTATATAAGGCGTGAAAGATCGCCGATCGTGCGCGAGCAAGCGTAACGAGGATTAAGCGCAGGAAATAGAACAAAAAAAAACCATAAAATAATCCAAATAAAGGGCGTAATGAAAAAAATCTCGTGACGCAAACAAAAAAAGCAAAAGGCGAAGAAGAAAAAGAAAAAACTGAAAATGTGTAACAGGCTGACAATGTTAAAAAGAAAACGTTTACCGCGTTAACGGAATCGATGGTCGAACAAACGACGGGTTGATCGTCGGGCGACCGATCGATCGCGGTCGATCGTGTTTAAAAAAAAAAAAGAAACGAAAGTTTCGCGAATCCACCGAGAGAGAAAACAAACATACGAGAATCCACAACGAAATTCTGTGGATTTGGTGAAAAATTCACGTTAATTTAAAACCAGTCGTTTATCGGGCGCCGCGATGTTCGGTCGCTTCGAAATCGGTGAACACATAATCGGCCGTCAACGATCGGACCGTACACGACCCGACGTTCCGTTCGACGACACGTCGACGCCCGTCGTGGGTCGACGATCGCGTGCAATAAAACAAGATATAATAAACAATATTAATATCATTATATACAACATTTTTACGGCATATACGAATACGATGTAGAGAAAGCAGGTGAGAAACAAGTTTAGGTTAATATTACTTGTTGTTGTCTACCATAGCGTGTAGTTATATACAATACAAGGTAGAACATTAACTATAGACAAGCTGAAGCGTGTGTGTGTGTGTGTCTGAGAGAGAGAGAGAGAGAGAGAGAGAGAGAGAGAGAGAGACATGATATGTGGTGCGTGCGTGCGTGTGTGTACGTGTGTGCTAGGGGTTCAAAAGAGAGCAAGATTGAGAGAGGAAGAAAGAAAAATCTCATGTGTGAGAGAGAGAGAGAGAGAGAAGTCAGCGCACTTGTCGAGCGTACATGTTACTATTACATAATAGCGAATATATATATTCACATACATATGTGTACTGTACATATACCTATGTGTATATATATACATACTCGAGGAAGCTAGTTAAAACTTGAAAGCAACCAACAAACAACAGAAAACAAAAAAATCAATGATTAAAACAATTATATACAGAAGTCTATACATATAAAACTTTAAAAACGTGTGTGCCTATGTGCGCACGTGCGTACGCGCGCGTACGTGCGGACACACTTTGTCAGTTCCGAATTCGCCCGGTTCTCCGATTCCCTTACCCATCCACCCCCTCAACCCCCGTCGTGTTTCCCGGCCAAACCGTCGGTCCTCTTCCGTAACCTCTCGTTTCTTCAGAGAGGACACCCTCAGAAAAATTCCTCGAACCCCTCCACCCTCATTCGTCCAACTCCTACCCAATACGCGACTACCTCTTCTTCCCCCACCAATCTCCGACGAACCTCTCTCCCTACATTCTTCACACGCACTTGCGCACATATCCATGACGCATTACCGTTGTAGGGAATGTCTTTAACGAATAAGAATACGATTTCTCATGTTACATGTTATACGAAGAAGAAAAACGCAGCAAAAGTAACTTACCCCAAAAAAAATAAAACATACATAAATAAATAAAGAATAAATAAATCGTAATAACGAAAGAATAACGATGAGAGACAAGTCTCTTCTCCGGTCAGTTGCAGGATCGCTCGGAACGTCGCCGAAATCGATATGTTCACAGTGTGTGTGGGGTGTCTGTGGCGCCGAACGAGGAAAACGGAAAAGACGGAAAACAAAAAGGACAAAAAAATATACACGCGGGATACGTGGAGCGAGGCATCAGAGGAAAGACATACGGATTGTGTTTTTGTTTACGAACAGGTACCGTCGGTGGAAGAGTTCTTATAAACCGGATATGTTCAGTTCGGTGAAAACGATCCCCGGATAATCATTTCCTTGTGGTTTCGTGTTTGCTGCGTTTGACGATCGACATTTGTGTTCAGTAGGCCCGTATAAGTGTTCCCCTAACAGACTCGATCGGTTTGTCCTATTTCTTCCACCGACTCTACGCCTGCTCTGTACTTTACCAGTTGTGCGTGTTACTTATTTATTAATTGCTACTCTCATTGTGATTATTGTTACTATTGTTGCTACTGGTATGTGTATATATGTATACATGTACAGCAGTTCCTTTATTCGTAGCTAGAATAATTTTGTTCTCTCGTTTCAACCGCCACCCGTTTGCTGTGCCAGGGTCACCTGATCGAACTTCCCCTCGTCGAAAGAAAAAGATCCGGCGAATCAATGGAAAAAACGGAATCGAAAGATATGTATTCAGCTTGAAAAGATTTGTCATTTCCCTATCGTTCGCGACACACGTGTACGTAGTTTTTCTCCTTTCAATTGTTGTCCAAAGTTTCGCGAAGTTTGGAAACTGTTGACTCGTTCCTTAGTTCCTGCAACGAAAGTCGAAAAACTCCGTCGAGTATAATTCCAATAGAGAAAGAAGTTGCGCTCGGTTCTATGTACGTAATATTCCGCCCAGTGCTGTTCGTTTGACGCCAAAGCCCCGAACGTTATGCGTCCCGGAGGAAGCGGTCGCGCAAAGGGCCGCGTGTTCTTTGAAAAGACCCTTTGAAGCCACTCTTGAAGTTCCTAAAATTGGTTTTCTCTTCTATTCTATCTCCGATTATATTATTCCCCGTTCAACTCCCGCTGGGATTCAGAGTGCCATACTTGAAACTAGTTGAGACCGGTTCCCGGGCCCAAGAAATTAGATTCGAGCAACGAAGTCTCGGAGAATTCGTTTCAATTCAGTAGGTCACGATTCCGAAGCGAAGATAGACGTTCAAAACATGTGAACAATATTCGATGAACTCGTGTTTGTACAAGGTGCTTTTTTTAAAGGACTCACTCGTCGAGTGGCGATGATTTATCAGTCCTTTCGAGAATTAATAAAATCACGAGTGTCGTTTAAAGTGTAGATTATTTCCGACGGGTGTTCCATAAAATTGAATATTCGATAAAACCGTCGAACGTGAATGTTGCCCGATTACCCTTGCGTCTACCGATCAAGGCATCAGCGCATGTAGAACCAAAGACAAAAGTGTGTAAGACGAGGGGAAGCGCGATCTTCAAACAATACATCGGATATACAAGTCAACGATGTTGTGACTAGTTTCTTGTTTTTTTTATCTTCTCTTTCTTACACTTTAACCGAGAGAGTCCTCACGGCACGGCGTAGATGGAAAAAGTCGGGGGCGGTGGGTTATCGATCACGAAGGAGCAAAAACATATATATGCATTATTCCGTACCGAGTACGACTAGAGGCTACCGAGTAATTTAATATAGAATTAAAACAGTCAACTGTATCGCGATTAACGGAGCACGAACGAAGAAAGGCCTGCATCGACCATCTTTCCTCCACACTTTTAACCCGATCCCCAATTCCCTCCGAGAAAACCCCCTTTTTTCCCTGTTATTCTAATATTCCTGCCTCCCTCTAACCCTCAACAAAAAAAAAAAAACAAGACAACATATTGTAATCTATTGTAGATTGTTGTAGATAAATTATACGGTTTGACCGTACATTGTTACTTTTTGTCGACAATATAAAATACACAGATATATAAGTAAATTGTATCTTGTCTGAATTACACCACTGTGTCAAGGTACTCCGACGAGGACTGGAGGACAATATCTCGGGTGACTGATAACAACGACGCCATTAACATTCGTTAAATTACTTTTAATCGTTGTCCGATACAATATAAAAAATGGTACAGTCGGCGAGACGCTTCCAATGTGACACTTGTGCGAAATGTCTCGAGTACTGCGATTCAATGTCTCGGAAATTATTTACAATCGGCATGAAACTAATTTACTGAAAAAATCAGTGAGTAATGGCCGGCATGCTAGGTGAACCAACCACATCTATTATGTCTGCTTTGACTTCAGGTTCGGTTTTCGGTAACAACGCCGGAGGTATCGTTAACGTCTGAAAACACCATAGTTTTAATATTATCTCCTCTGTGAATAGTAAGACTTCCATTCGCTGCTTAAATTGTATTACCTTCCCAGGAGCTAAAGCCTCGTATTGATGCCTTAACGATTGCAATTCGTAATCACACGTCGACAACGCGTTTCGAAGCTCATAATATAAAACAATGTCGCTTCTCAACTCATTGAACTGCTGACATATTTGCTCCGTGGGCGGTGGATTTAATTCTAGAAGAACAAATATATTAATACACAATCGCACAAGATCAAGATGAAGTAACTGAACGAGGTGTAAGTACCTAGTCCTAATTCGTTAAGCATCTGTTCAATACCCTTCATCTTCTTTTGACCTAAACTACTTGGCAACTTTATCCTTTGCGAACGGAGCGACACACCGCTATTTTTAAAATCTGGGAACTTGATACCAGCTGATTCAACGGTCTGTAAATATTGGTGCATGTTATATATGACACAATTAGATTCTCAAATGTAAAGTTTAAGTAAGTTATTTACATGAGATGTATCAGTCTTATTGGGTCTATTCCTAGAAGAAGCTCCACTCTTCTTTGTGGGTTTCCTCTCATTCTTTCGTGGATCCGCTTGATGATCGGCGGCTGTTATTAATTTTTGTAAATCTTGCGTTTTCCTATCCCTTTCTTTCTTTCTCTGTTCAATCTTTCTTAATTCAGTCAGCAACATTTGCTCTTCTTCCACTTGTTCCGGTGTTCTTTCAAACAATTTCTTTAACTGTTCTTTCCTACGTTTTTCGTGTTCTGCGTCAAACGTATATACCTTATCACTGTGAGACTTTGCTTTTGTTAAAGCAGCACACACTTGATAGTACCTAAACATATGTATACAGATACATTAGTCATTCAGAACAAGAAGAATATGGAACTTATGCAAAATTTTTACTTGCCTTTCCTTCAAATCTTCTACAGATCTAGCAGGGAATTTTGTACGATCCCATCTATCTTTTATTATAATAAATCTCAAATCAAATCTTCTACATAAATCAAACAGATGATCAGTTTCTGCTCTGGTCCATCCATTTGTGACTAAATGTTGAACATATTCAGCATTGGTATACGTTGGAATAGGAACTTTTTTATTAAATTTGGCAAAGGGATATTCCTTCCCCGCATCTGCCACTCGTCTCCAATGGTGGAAGACCGCTCCATCTGTTCTTGCAGGATTAGTAAAAGGTGTCCACTTCCATGGTCTCACTTTTTTCATACCAAGTTTAGCCCGAACTTGTTTATATCCCTTTGCTGTATCCGTCGGGAACAGTGGCGGCACGTCATTGTTGTCTTTGCACAACAACGCAAAGACTTCACGGTGCATACCCTCCGGTCTCTTAGGTACTTTGTACTCATATTTCTTTCGATTTTTCTTGTCGCCTCCTATAATTGACTCTTTCGTGAGTTCACTGGTGGTAGGCACCTCGATGTCCAATATATCGCGTACATCTGCCATTCTGTCAATTTATAATAAACTTTCTGTGCCTCTATGCGTACGAACGTGTTACTTTGAGGCTATGCAAGACAGGATGTTTAGTAAATACATTGCTGTTTCCCTACGTTTAGGAAATAAACAGTGTGTGTTTGTTATATAAAACAGAGATAACTTTCGATTAATTGAATTTCTTTGTTATGTATACATTGTTGTTAAAAATTAAATGTCTTCCTAAACTAAGCACAACTTAATTAATAGGTATTATTATGTCAGGAACTTCACAAACTACATACACTTATCTATCATAAAAAGTACAGGAAACTTTCGCAAATTAAATTGTGTCAAATTGTTGTATTCCCCTGAATTGATCTTTGCATTAATGATTGTCTGTTATGACTTTTTCAATTAATATTTAATACTTTTGTACAGAAACGAAAAATGATGAAAAAACCTGCGACGCCACTTACGGAAAACTACCCAACTACTAGCACAAACGAAATATAGAATAGATCTAACATGGAATGTAATTTCCTTCCATATGGTTCGGGGGCTCTGGAACCCCCTTACATTTTACAGTCAATACCCGACGTTACCGATAAATCTGATGAAAGTACACAATTTACAATAGTATTTGAATAAATTTCACAACAATTGCCTTAAATACTACTTATTTATATACGTATGCCATTAAGTAGGGATTTTTGGTCCCCTCATCCGGCTATACCTTTTAAAAAGATCGAAGATATATTTATAACGACCAGTAGTCCAACACTCAAGTTGTTTCTGCGTTGAGAGACAATAAAATATCCGTGCAGGGTCTATGGCGCCTCCACCGGGGGCTCGGTGACCCCCGCTCTCACCCCACGTGATCAAGGGCGCCTCCACCGGGGGCTCCGTGACCCCCGCTCTCACCCCACGTGATCACTGGCGCCTCCACCGGGGCCTCCGTGACCCCACGCTCTCACCGTGCAGGGTCTATGGCGCCTCCACCGGGTGCTCCGTGACCTCACGTTCTCAGTCAGTACCACTTGATGTGAAAAACAACGATTTTCCGAGAGTAAAAAAGAAATATTCATGTTTATAAATATTTTATTACGTTGATAAAAGAGTAATGGATTATGAATCCTGTATTCGTATAGTTAACAGATTGTACATATCAGGTAACAACTTAACACTAATAAAAATATTGTATTTATGAAAGAGTACTATCCAACATATTTATATACATATCACATTACAATTCAGTTCTTTTATAGATAATAAATAAAATATTCAATATTTTACATACTAGTCATGAGAGTAGCCTGTAAAATTCATAATTAAACTATAAATTTCGTTTAATCTATGCATAGTACAGATTGTTTTATCTCTGGAAGTACTTAAAGGTATAATGACCCATCTGCTGGACCTAAATATCTCACGGAAATAAGTATAACATCAATCAGTGTCCATACACCAAGTCCTCCAAAACTGAACAATTTACCAATTCCCTCTTGCCAGTGACCCAAATAGAATCTGTAATGTGTATTCAGTAAAACGCAATTTTTTTACCCGAAAAGTGTAAAGATTCATTGAGCATTACATACCTATCAGCTCCAAAACCTCCTAAAGTAATGCTTAAAATTAGGGCAGTAGACCAGCGATATCCTACAGTCCAATTGCACAGTAAATTCTTCATGAATCTACGTCTTCCCAAACATAAAATGTCACTATTCACTGTACAATTTGTTCTATAATACTGTCGAGGGGATGCTACAGAACTACAAGAATTCTTCTGTTGACATTCATGCTCCCAATGTTCTGTTTGATAACAATAACGGCATACGTACTTTTTTTGAAAGCTTTGATCACCCTTAAATTTTAATTTGTCAATTATTGTCTTAGATACAATGAATTATATGATAATTATATATTAATATATTACTCACAACACAATCAATGTGTTCTAAAACTGTACAGTTGGCAACATATACCGCCCCATATACACAATGTGGATTTAAATTACAGTTTAAACATTCTCCACTTAGGTCTGAACATGCAGTACCACTTGGACATAATTTAGATGTCTCGTCCTATGAACATGTTAATTGTTTAACCAATATTCTTATCAATGAAATTATTTTATCACTCTTATTTACCTTTTTACTACTGTATGCTGGTGTAGAATTTACATTCACCTCTTTCATTATAGTATTAATCACACCATCTGCACAGAAAGTACTGAATGAAAACATATTATTAATTGTATATGGAAACATTTAAGTCCATTGTGACCTACCATTACCCATGGAAGCTTGTTTAACGGTAGTCGACAGAATCGCCAAAAGAACAAAAATTACATTCCTCTTGTTAATTCGTATAATATGCATTATGAGTAATAGTTAATTAATGAAACTAACGTTAATGTGTATTTGAAATCAGTAACTTTTCACTTGTTCATTTGCAGTTAACCTTTTTTCGCCGCTATATCCCATCATTTCTATCACAACTACAAATGATATAGTAGCGTCATCTAATGACAAACGATAGGTACTACTTAGCTGGTAGGTTTATTACAGATTCCTAGGGTCATGAAGTTCCGTAATGTGATAAGTCAAGCCTTATACCACAGACGAGGTATAGGAGTAGACATTTCATCCAATGTATTTTTTCGGCGTACTTATCTTTCGAAATCCATTATACGCAATTCGATTTCATTTTACAAACAAACTATAGAAATCTCTAGTGGATTATTAGAACCCATAATTGAACAATGAACAGCAGCTTGAGTCATTGCAAATCAAACACAGACGGGACAGGAGCAGAAAGAATGGATTGAGGAACGCATTTGAAATCTTGTGCAAGATCTGACCAATTACCAGCTGCAGAAAGGGGGAGGGGCACCAAAGCTTTAGTAGCCGCCATGTTTTTCTGTGAGTGGGGTGTGTAGAAGAGAGGCCGGGGTGAAAATCATCTCTCGAGGCATGCAGGTACGTCAAAATTCGAACAATTACGTTTATCCGTCGTAGTAGAAGTGGTTGTCGTTTTGACTCGTGTTGACAGTGCCCGACCATACTAGAAAAGGGTTTGTTTTCGTTTCGTAACGTCACGCAGTTTCGACGTTTCGACGTGAGAGCCTATGACTCAGGCGAAACGCATAGCGCAATCAGGCAAGGTTATTTGCATTGCTCGTGCGATGCGTCTGCCAACATATCCATATACATAGACAGCTGTGGTGCAGCAAATCGCGTTCGAAATTGCAGTTTGTGTTTTGTGCATCAGTTTGAGAGACATCTATCCAGTGGACGAAGCTGGTTGATGATACGTGCGAGAAAATTCTGGGAATTCTCTGTCCATTACGTACATAGTTTTCGCGCCGCGTAATCCCGTGATAAACGTATTTGACAGTGTTTGATAACGGCTGTCGAACGTCCTTCGCTACTGATCTCGTCCCCACGTTATTCAATGCAATGTCCATAACTTGTCCCTCTAAGTCACGACGTGGAATATGTGTTCTTGGATCCACGGCTCGTGCAACGTGACTTCATAGCTTCTAACGTAAACGAGTGCTTCTAACTGCGTTGTACGTTACGCGCAAAAAAAGTTCGCAATACATGTTATCGCGCGACGTTTGGGGACACTCAAAATCATAATATTGGGGTATTTTAATTACAGTGATTAAAGGGATTTTCTATGTTTTCTAACAGAGCTAGAATTTTTTGTAAATTACCAAATTTATTTGTCCGACAAGTAAACATCGTCTTCACTTAGAATTGCGAAGTCTGGGTTTCAGTGACGTTTCGTGTGTCTAATAATCTCTGTTGCATTCAAGAACAAACATAATCTGTGATTAACTTGCTACTTTATCTAAAAATTACAGTATTTGCCAGTCGATTTCTAATCATCGTGCGGGTAATCTGTGACTCATTTCACGTTGCACTTCTTTGTATGTGCAATATATGTATATTTAACAACATTCCGAGTTATCACAAACACTAATTACACTCGTTGTTTAGAGTGCAATGAAATATTGGTTTAGACTTGTTTCATAAATATTTTTTGTTTGTACAGTAGTTCCCGCTTAATAGATGCATTTTTTCCCCCGCTTAATTGACGCGGAGTCATCTCCACCAATTCCTGGAACTGCTTCCACAGAGCCAGCGTCCACGTTATCCGTGCTACACATCGTAAAACAGCAGTTTGAACCTTTCTTTCTATTTCACTCACACTGAATATGTCTCACTCGCGTCTCCGACGCGCTCAAAAAGCGAGCGAATCGGAGAATGATAACACAGATGACAATTCTTGAAACACTTACCACCCTCGATAACTGTCGCAACGTGGACTTGAGTCTGCGTCAATTAAGCGGGGACTACTGTATGTAGCTTCTGTTTTAGATGATATATAAGTTATTGTATTGACATTAACGTTTATTTAGAATTATATAGTATGAAAGTGACAGTTTTACACAACTAATAGTTAATATACTGCTTATGTAAGGAATGTAACAATGACTTTTTTTTGTGGTAGATTTAAGTTTATAATGTGTGCAAGGATATTAACGTTGTCAATGTATTGCACAAAATTTGTTTGTTTATATTTTTTGATCGTACAAATAAATGAGAATAATGAAACAAGAATTGAATGCATTTATTTATTTATCAAGTATTTTCTTTTTTGCACATTAAGAATATCCATAAGAATAATTGGAGAACATTATGAAATTTCAGTGTCAAAATGGGAAGGAAACTATACTTGTTATCCTTCACTAAGACCTGCCAGCCTCATTTCCACAAAATATCCACCACCTGTGCACAAGAAGTAAATAATTTTTAATCAACGTAACTGAAATTATAAGAAAACTACCACCGAGCGTGGGTAATACAATAAAAAGCAAGAAATTACAAGGAAGAGAAGCAAAATAACATTTATCAAGCTTGTAAATGTCAAGGTGGTGGATTCAGTAAAAATTGAAACATTAAAGGACAATAATATAATACAGTAACTTTATTGTAAATAGGTAATTTGATTTCGTACACATGTTCCTTCGTCGATCTTCATTGTTGCGCATTATATTAATATTCGTTTGACTTTTAAGGAGAGAAGATGATCACCCTGGAGGTAGTGGAGTCTGTGAAAGTTCTTGGGTCTAGGAGGTACTTTAATAAGAGGAAATGAGGAATCCAGCATTGCACCTGGTTGGGATAGCGGCGTCCCCTGGGGGTGGTGAAGTGTTTGGTACAAGGGCCGAGGAGGAGTTGCGCCAGTGGCTAGAGGCACGCTTGGACGCATTGGGAATAGACCCAATTGCGTACTCGCGATTTGTACTCAGCCTACTACGCCACCCCGACTCGGCCCTGAGTCCTCCGGAAGAAGCAATCGGTTCAGGAAGAAACGGGGGACGTCGTATACGTGCCCGACCTAAAGCAAAGCTGCCGACACAAGGAGATAGAGAACAGAGACGTGCTGTTGTGCAATGTCTCACAAGTGCTGCCGATAATGTGAGTGTCGTTAATTGTGTTTCATCACTTTGTGAAAACAATATACTTTTGTTTCATTAATAATAACACGTATATCATTTTAACTACATAGAAATGTGGAGTGGAAACACTGGTCGATGAATTATGTATGAAATTACGCGATTTGGAAGGCGGTGGATCAAGCGACAAGGAAGATGAATCCAAGAAATCTGACTGTGAAAGCAAAACAAGCTTAGAGTCGCTTACACCTCGTGACAGAGCTCTCAGATACTATGCAGCATTCCCTGCTTTACAACCGACAACTCTAAAAAAAGTTTCCCAAAGAAAAGACAGGATCGTTGCAAACAACAACAACAACAACAACAACAACATCATCAACAGTAATAATAACAACAATAATAATCAAATCAACGGGGTTAACTATAATAATAACAAGAACAACAATAAGTCTCGCAATAAGAAAACTAAAATGTCTATAGTAAGTATTATGTAACGTTAGATTTTGTACAAGATATATTGTTAAAGACTTCTTCTGATTATGGTTTTCGTTGGTTTGTATAGAGCATTGACACACAAAGATTAGAGGGAAAACAGAGCTTCGGATTTGTAAAGTCAATGGAACGTGAACGAGAAAAAGAGCGCGAATTGGAATTGGATCAGCTGAGATTGGCACAATTGCAAGCAAAGTTTGACGAGAGCTTGGAAGCACTTTGGGATACAGGACCGGGCAATGCACAGGACACAGCTTCTATCTGGGCAGCTCCTACTCTCTCTATACCTTCAGGACCCCTTTGGCCGACAGACACCACCGAGACAATCTTTACTTTATCCACCTCGGACAATGGTTATGCTACTGACACACCGTACCAGGAATCAATCGTGGACGACTCGCCGCTCATTCCATGGGACATCGATTTAATCAGTATCGAGGATTATACGGATGAATGTAGTAACAAAACTAAATCAGGTTAGTATCTAAAGATCTTCTATAATCTATGAGTATCACGATATAGTAATATTGACTTAAGTATATCTAACGGATAGGAGATGGTTCTGAAATGTAAGTAAAATGTATGCACATTAAGTTAGACGTAGATTGTTCTATATCTGTGTCGTGCTACAAATGTGTCTTTCATTATGGTTTTCGTTCTATTATCGCGTGTATAAGTTAGTTTACACCAACTGTACCGTTGGCAAATGGATATGAGTAAATATTCGAAATGATACCATTTCAGAGAACAACATTAACTGGTCTGACTCAGCTATGGATGGATCTTGGTGTTGGAAAGGGCTCGGCAGCAATTTGGCTGCCTTGGGCCACAGTCCGCAGACAGGTAGCTGCTTCTTTCCAGTCGCACCACGTAAAACACCCATTGGAACACGCAAAGAGACCCGTTCAAATCTAAAGGTGAAAAGCCTTCCAGAACCGGACGAGGATTTGCTAATTTCCCCTCGCACACACTTTCGTCCGATAAAGGATGACGGTCAGTGGGCCGACGGGACTACATTTCCGGTGAACAATACCGTAGAGCGGGTCGCGTATCGCAGATCTGAGTCAGGAAACTTGTTATATCTACCTGGCGGAGAGAGCCCATACATGGAGTATCGGGAGAATGACTCACCGAGTCCTCCAGCATCGTCGAATTTAACGTTGAAGTTCAGGGTGCGTCAATGCGACAAGTGCATACAAACCGAGCCCATTCGATCTCCGGTCAAACGCAGAATTCTCTCCGAGCAGGATCATTTCCATTATACTCCGGTCGGAGTAGAAGATACTGTTATTCGCGAAGAGGAGAAAGTCGAGAAAGATTGCTATGCATTGGGTCAACTGGGCTGGGTACGATCGAATGTACCTCTGCACAATGATAGGAAAAGGTAAAATCTACACGACACTAAGAGAACTCACGTTATATAGTTTCACGACGGCTTTATTTTCTTTTTCTTTTCTTTTTTTCTTTTTTTGTTCACGCTGTGCATCATTCGGCCACGTTGGACTCATTTAAGGGACGTGTTATCGTTACGTTGTTCCTTTAAGGACTTTACGAAAAACCTTCATCGTTCGGAGGTACAAGCGTACTATTAGACCAAAGAGTATTGGCCAACTATTAGAAACAAAATTTATGTTGTTTGTTAATCGTTAGGACATTTCGCGCTGTAGAAATTTCGAAGTAATACCGTTTTTTTTCCTGTTTGCCGTTATATAACACGATACTGAAATAGGCGTGTGACGTATGTATATGTTATGGTAAATGTGTGAACTGCAAAAAGTTTGTACGTTTACTAATGACGATATTGTTAATGAACGCGAATAATTGCGAAGGCATTACTTCCAACATGTATTTTGTTACGCCATCTGTCGTTAAAGCACAGAGTTTAAGTATAGCATAAGAACAGGGTTCATGATCCATGACCTTGTATAGACAATTGAGTTTGTTCCAACTGAAACAAACGTACACACTAAATGATCGTCCTACTTTAGAGGGCTAAGATAAATTTAAGTTTCTTCTCGTTAAAATTTTTAATCGTTCAAGTAGGAAGACCCCTCTCAAGTTCACGCCTCTATTGTAACATGTACGTATAAATACCAATATTCATATACATATGTATATGTATATACGTATGCATAATCGATAGCGTAGTATGTAGCAGTATGTTATGAAATTAAAATATTATCCCGAAGAATATTAACGGATGAAATTCTTCATTGGTTCTCTTCGACACTATCCATCGGCTTTTTGTTTTTTTGCTGTTAGAAGCGCGCGATTTAGCATAGCGTAGAACGTATGGTCTGAGTCCTTGGTCAGTTGCATCATTTAACGTGTTTAATGTGTTTTTTTCGATAGAAGGCACAGTAGCAGCTTCGGATGCCAGCCTCTGACGACTTTGCGTCCGTTGACCTTATGAACTGGATAAATAACGAGTTGCTAAAGATATATATATATATATATATATATATATATATATTAAAGAAAAAGCGTAATGAAATGCTCTAATGACTGGAGATCCGAGGTTTAGCTATGTTTAGCACATGTTTTTTTGTTCCCAAGACGAAGACGCAAACCGTTTTAAAACGTGAACACGACAGAGGGGGGAGCCTCTTGGCATGTGGAATTTGTTATGCATGTATCCAAGACGGCGCCATTAATAATAATAAATAATAATAATAAATAATAGTAATAATAATAATAAACGAAAAAAAAGTATCCCCCGTTGTCGTTAAACGAGAAAAAAACAAGTAAAGAAAAATAAAAAAGTATAACACGTAACGCAAAGCAAATACACGAGCGAAGCGAAACGAAAAGAAATATTAAACGTTCATTTAGATAATTATCATTAACCCTTTGACAAATAAAGGAAAAAAGTGAAACGGAACAAAGTAAAAAAAAAAAGTAAATTCTATATGTTACGCAGTGTTTAAACGACGAGAAAGCGAGCACGCGGGCGTGTGTGTGTGTATGTGTGTGATGCGTGCGCGCGCACGCACGCGCGTGCGTATGCCCGCTAGCGAGAAAGAAAATTCAAAACGAAAAAAAAATTGTATCGAGAGAAAGTAGTCAACGAGATTTCGTTTTTTTTTGTAGCTTGTTAAATAATTTCATGTAAACTTTCGATACGAGAGATCGAAGAGCGCGCGCGCGCGAGAGAGAGAGAGAGAGAGAGAGAGAGAGAGAGAGAGAGAAAACAAAGAAACAAACGCAAAAAAATTAGTGCGCTGATTTTCTAATAGAGATATAGTAGAGAGCAGAGTTTTCCTTTTTTTTCTTTCTGTTTCTCGTCCGATGTACAGGCGTTCCGTGCGAGTTTCATTGGATGCATTGCAAAAATATAAGTGGAAGTAAGAGGGAGAATGAAAGAGAGATAGAAAGGAGTGTAAAAGCTATGTGTGTACCAAGAGAAATTTAAAAGAAAGAACACATGCCCCCAGAAAACGGAATGTGTGCCGCCATTGAGGAAAAACGAAGAGCGGTAAAATTCGAAGGACGGTGTACTTATATATGTATATATAAGCAAACGCAAAAAAATTAAAACGAAGTAAAAGAAAGAAAGAAAAAAAGAAGTAAGAAGTGGAGGTATAAACGATTATATAAAGTGCCGTACGACAATTGAACCACGAAAAACCATCGTCGAAATACTGTTCTATTTTATTGTTGTTTTTTTTCGTAATTATTAATGGATTATCTTAATTGTATGTCCCCTAATTATAATTTAACTTCCTAGAAGATTTAATATCCTAACCATCTCCCCTGTTCCACCATCCCGTCCCTGTCCAACCGGATCCCAAATGTTTCGAAGGAAACCAATCCTCACCTCCCACACCACAGTATCCAATGCTTTTCCTGTGCTCCCTCAGAGGAAATATATCGGATAACTGAGAACGTACATGTGGAAAAAAGAAAGAAAAAAAGAATTTAAACAAACAAAAAAAAAAAAGATTAAATGAAAGAAACTTGTAACTCGGAGGAACGGGCGAGAGCTCGCGGGGTCCCCACCGCCTATCGAGGCGACGGCAAAGTGCGAAGAAGAAGGGGCCGACCGACGTGTAGCGTGCAAGAAAAAATGTTATTAGGGAACGACGAAATGCCTTTCCAAACGAGAGAGAAACAAGGATGAAAATATGTGGTCGAACGAAACGAGTTGTATGTTCAGACAACGTTGAAACGACGACACGGAGAAAGGATTGTTCACGAACGAATGGTGTCGTACGCGAAGCATGCGATGCGAAACGGAATTATGGAACACGCGAAAAAATATGGGGGAAGAAAAAAAAGAAAGAAAGAGAAAATCGGCATATGTATACTCTGCGCGAAATAATGTACGCGAAGGGAGTATCCAAATAAAGGCATTGCAAACGCTGACGTCATTCATTATTCACCTCGTTCCTCCAACTCAATTTCCCTTTCGCCCCTAGGCCAGAATTGGATAAAATAGCAATATTGGCATGGCTTTGGTGAGATCAATTGAACGATATAACATCTTACGGTAAGTAAAAATATTCTAGCAAAATCACGATGGCCCGATCACGTTTATGTACAAATCTTTAGAAAACAGATGGAAAACCTTGGCGAAATAGTGATTCCAGTTGAAAAGATTTAGAATCTCGATCTGAATTGCGATTTTTGGAAAGCTTGAGTGGGCGCGGGTTGTAGGTTGAACGTGAACGGCTTCACTTTTGTGATCTTCCCTTTGACAGGGCTGTTTCGATTGATTTTGGTGATTTTCGCCCGGTGCCGATAGTACCAATACTCGAACGCTAGCGTGAAACAAGCAAAAATAATGCCAAGGAATATAACCACGAAGACACCGCCTATATTATGGATGCTTATGCCGTCGCTTTGGCTGTTCTCCGCGTCGCAATCCTTCCTCTCGGGGTTCTTCTTCCACCATTTGTCCTTCAGTTTCTCCAACTTCCGTTTGTTCAACAGAATCAGAATCCTAAGACAGTAGATTCTCTTCGTAAACACGTTTCGAATTTTAATTGGGGATGTCCTATTCCGATTCGATTCTTCAGAAGATTGATTCCCTTCCCAGATACCACATTACGCATTAAAGACGCCTATTTTACGGCTATTTTAGGTCTAAGGCGTCTTTAAGCCGTCTTCAAGGCATCATGTGTTATCTAGTTTGGGTAACACGTCATCGCCATGTTTAACACACGCACTACCGACCAAAAGTATGAGATCATAGTTCATAATTGATGGAACACAAACTCATTATTCTATTACGACAAAATAAAAGTTACGGAATCAGTATACATATACAAATTAATTTCCATCAATTTTAACACTTCACCTTCATTAACTCTTTGTAGAATAATATTTTCCTCTTTCTTTAATTCTCAGACCTGGTCCCATACTTTTGGCCATTAGTGTATCTCCTATACATACCAGTGACATGTTACCGAAGTGAATCAATCTTCTGAAGAATCGAATCGGAATCTAAGATCCCTAATTTCAATGTTACAAATACAAGCTGAACTTACGATACATTATACATTAAAAATCCGGTACATTCAAAAACACGAATCGAGAAATACCGGAATATGTCACCGGAAATCCCTCGACAATCTCTTGTCGAACCACCGCCGCGATACAGGAGAATACTGTTTACGTACGCGTTGTTGAACTGATCCTTCAACGGGGATCCCTGTTGAACCGCGATCGCGTACGGTTTCCTCGAGAAATCCTCCCCCACTTGAACCAAATCGCAGTTCGTCATGGTGAGATACTTGATGGTCGTCGAGTCCTCGATATAAGCGAACTCGTTGTTCGAGTCGAGACGGCGTACACGCCGCAAAGCCTCTTCGGTCGTCGCCGGAAAGCCGGCCTCCTCCATGGCTTGCAACATTTTCGTGTATTTGTCGCTCACGGGATAGTCCCAGACCGCTAGATCCGCCCTCTCCACGTCCGACAGGCTGTCGTTTAGGCTCATCTCTTTCCATATTCTAAATTGCATGCAATCGTTCGTCGAGTACGGTATGTTAACCACAGAGTTGGGCAGAATTTTAATTCGAATAATACACAGTGAATCTAATGGTAACGTTCTTTTGAATGGAATACCCTATTTTTTTGTTTGCCATTCATAAATTTCATATTACTTTAAACAGATGTTAGATTTACTTTTACGTATAAAATATTAGTTTAAATATTATGATATAATATTTTTCTTCTCTAGGGGGAGCAAAATCCATTTTTCTCTAGGGTAGGAAAAAGGCGACTTTTTGCCCTCCAGGGATGACAAATACCCCCTCCCACTGCCTACGTCTATGTTATACGCAGAAAAACGATCCTCACTTACTCGTAAAATTTCCATTCGATAGCGGCCATCCTCTTGAAATAAATATAAGCAGGCGAATTAACCACCGGCGCGTACTGAATCTTGTACTGTTTGCTGAGATCCTCCAACGTCTCGATCGGTATCTCCAATCGGGAGACGGTCAGAAACGCCGCTAGATTCGCCGTGTACGAGGCGATGATGATGAAACCGAACAGCCACCACGTAGCAGCGACCAGTCTGCCCGAGAGATTCTTCGGCGCTTCGCCGCCCCCCTGTGGGGTCAACGAGGTCATGCAGAACCAGAAACACTCCCTCAAATTGAACTCCCGTTTCTCATCGTCGTCCTTGTATTTCTCTCTGTTGTTCTGATAACTGTACGGCGACCAACGATCGAAGATCCACAATAGAACGCTGGTGAAAAGATAGGCGGCCAGTATACAGAACCAAACCTCGTTCTCCAGCACGGTGAGAAACTTGAACAACGACGTGGACGTTTTCGTTTTCAGCATCATAATCGACAGTCCGACGAGATCGTAATAAGGCACCGTGAAATCGACCACCCTCTCCCTCTCAGCGGTGACCCAAAGAGAACTGAGAGCGATGTCCGCCCGTTTCTCGATCAGCTCTTTCATCATCCCGTTCCAGGTACCGTTCGGATTCAAATTCCCGTAGAGTTTGTCCTCTGCCTCGCGGATCTCGTATTGAAAGTCGACCGTCTCCTTGATCTCGTTCAGCAGATCGATACAGAAACCGTAATACTCGTTCGTTTTCTCGTTGTACATCACGAACGGGGGATGAAGCACCGTGACCACACGATAACTCTTCACCGCGGTGGTGTTCATCAGCTCGTTGTTCGTCACCTTCATAAAACGTAGAATTCCGTGGTTTCGGTTGTTTGTTCACTCGGTATATTTTGGGGCTTATGGGGTGTGGAGATTAATGAATGGGAAGTTTAGCCATTTAGACGGTTCAAACTCGTAGAGAAAATTGAAAGACGAACAAGTTACAGTGGACTCTAACTATATTGCCATGGTTGGGGCTGCAGGGGAGTAAAATTGGCGATGAGTTCAGAGCCCCCTCCATGTTAACCCTTTGCCCTACGATTTTCTTGACGTCTGCAGACTCTAGGATAACATTCTCGTCGATAATTCCCCAGAAACGAAAGGAATTCTGTACTTATTCGAACTGTATTTTTACTGTAAAAGTTAAATATTAATGTCAGTAACGTGGCGTTTCACTTCTATTCTTCTTTGATGAATATAATATTCTTCTTTGTTGAATCGATTTTGAAATCGTCAATACGAATCTTACTCGATGTTATAGGGCAAGGGGTTAAGTTCTATCGTTATAGCATTGAAATTGCAGAAAAACTTGTACACTTAACACTTTGGTGTCGGATGTGTGTTCGAAGGCTCCTCGGTGAGGAAAGATTTACTGTAGTACGTCTTTCTTAAATAAGAACGAGAATAGTAAAAAATAAATAAAATTACTTTTCCTATTATATGAAGTTTGACAAACAAAAGTTAAATAGTAGTTTCTAAATATTTTCAGAATATCTCAAGCTTTATATTTGCAAGCACAAAAACCCTCTCGCCAACGAAGTGTTAATTGTAATTTGGAAAGTATACGAACGAATTACGTGAGTTATTTTTCTACGATTTTTGCGGAGAATTCCACGTACACGGAGACTCGAGTCGGATGAAAGAACAGAGTCCTCGGAATATTCGACGCGAAATAACAGCCACGAGCGCCGGAACATGTTTACGTGGATGAAGGGTTTCGCTTGATATATCGAATAAACAAATAAAGTTGCATGTGCTATCTTCATCAGCGTTCGTCGTTATCAGTGACTTGTGAAAATAAACGTTAGTCGACCGCGTGTCAAGGATATGGCCACAGCAGTGGCCAGGGGAGGGTCAGGGATAAGAAATTGTTTGAGCTCTAATTTACCCTCCCGGCTCGCTACGAATGGGGAAGTAATTTTTGTTAAGTGTAACGACGCGTTCAAAACGATAACATCGTCGACCTGCGGGGTTTATTAAAAAAATGTAAAATATCCGATATTTGTGTCAACTTGGCTGGAAATAAATGTAATATTCCGTTATATTATTAAAAATTATACTTCGTAAAATTAACCCTCTAATGGCAAGGTCCAGATCGTATTCGACCCAAGTTGTTATTATTTCTTTATTATTCTAGTTCTAAAATATCTATTATCGTCTCGTAAATTTAATACTTATATCATTGTATATTATATAACTCAATTATTATTCCTTATTATATAAATAAACAAAACATTCGAGTATCCGGCCAACTGATCCTCGCGTGACTCAAAACCGCCATTTTGTTTCACTGATCAATAAACCAACCCAATTCCCCTCGGATAATGTCACGCACGGTCTTCTATATCAATTCGTCCCATCGATTATATACCCTATAAATTTTAAAACAAGCACTTACTGAAATTAAACCGTTCATTTGTATCGTTATTCGAGCGGTAACGTTCCAGAAAGCTCGACGCTTTCACCACGCGTGCAGACGAACTCCGCGACCAAAGTGTGCGCGTCACGAAGTATCTTTCAAAAGTGAATTTCTTCGACCGTGTACAAGACGAAGTTTAGAGCAGGAAGATGTTCATGGGAATCTCCGTGCGATAAGGTGAAAATAACGACAGCGAAAAGGTTCAGAAGGGATCGATCGACGGTCAAACTTGCCTGTAAAGGCGCGGTGACACTGGCGTTCCAAGATCCGCTAACCATCGAGGAAACCGCTCCCTCCTCGATGTTCACCAAGTGAATCGACATCTCGAACATGGCACGATGCTCCCCGTTCTTCGATCCCCATCGAATACCCGCGTAAGTAGGCGTAATGTCTTTATAAGCTGCTTTTAGCTTCCCCAAGAAGTCGAACCCTCTCTCCGGTGTGTTGGTGTTGTTGTACTCATCGCAGGTGATCTGTTCCGGGTTAAGGGGCCATTCACCGTCGTCCAACGCTAACTTCATCGCCCGCACGGCTAGATAAAGCAGATCGTAATAGAAAGCCGACGATACGATCGGTTTGGGCAGAGAAGCTTCCACCACGGATTTCATTGGGTTGCTAGCTTCCGGTCTCATGAACAGAACGGTTATGTTCCGACACTCGCATCTAGGCCAGACATCAGACTCGAGCGTCAGAATGAACCAACCGTACTTTCTACCGGTGAAATTCAAAGACTCGGCTGCTTCCAGAGCCACGTTTATCGTGTTCTCGTCCCCTAGGATGAAGTAGTTCACGATGTCCAGGTCCCTTAATCGTGTCAGCTGTCTTCTTATCTCTTTCGTATGTTGGGAAGCCTCGTTGATCACGTGTCTCGTTGGGACGTTTAATAACAGACTCTTGTATTTGTGGTCCATCACGAAATTGCGATCGTACAGAACTGCCGCGTTCGTTATGTTCAACTGGATGGCGATCTTTCGTACCGCTTCCGGTATCAAGTCCGCTGGCGGCATCACCTGGACCAGATAGTCCAATTGATCCGCGTTCAGATCCCTCCAGTAGATCAGATCACCTTCTTGGCCGTATTGAGCGGATAACGTGGGGATCCCCAGGGCAGCTGTGAACGAATTCGTTACCTTCGCCCCTAGGCCAGCTGTCGTCCCGTCCAGAATTAAATCTGGTACTTTCGTACCGCCTCCGTTCACTGCGGACTCCCAGGTGTTGCAGATGCGGTCCAGCGTGTCGTTCAGGTCAGTTTCGTTGATTTCTATCGTCCAGACTCTACCTAGATAGGTCGGATGCTTTTCCTTGATCATCTTCAGGGCAGCTGTGAAACTTTTGTTCGCTATCCTGTTGGTGTCATCGTTCACGATGACTGAGTGGGAAGTGATAGAAATGATCAGAAATAGTCAGAGCGTGTATACAGTGACTCTACTAAACATTTGTTCACATACTTTTGAAAATGAAAATTTTAGGTGTCCAAACGTTTACGTAATTTTCAATTATATATTGTTTTCATCATTACTTTTATCATAGTTTTGTGATAAATTTTCCTTAAGTTTGAAATAGAATTCGGACAACTTTTTGTGGAGAAACTTATGAGTCACTGTATATAATAGAGTAGGTTTTAGGGCAGTCCTGATTAATCGAAACGAACTCGAATTTTGGTGGACTTTAACGAGGTGAAAAACTTTATACCCTCTACGATAACTGTTCCAAAGCGGTCCCGAGTATTAATCGAAGGTTCGCTGTACTTACAAAGATTAACAGGCCTGGTCTTCGTGGCCGATTCTCTATCAGCCACAATGTTTCCTTGCCCACGGACCGGAAATTCGCCGCAAAGACCGAGGAAACCGCACACTAGGACCGCAAAATACACGGGTCTCATATCGCAATCAGAAAACAAAGAAGAAAAAACGATTCCTCGAAGCGGACGAAATCACGTGCAGCACTTCTTTATTCAACGTGGAAGGCTGGACGTTGGAAGTTACAGCTGTCTCGCGGTAACAGGCGATCGACGAACGTCTATAGACGTTTTTGATCGAATGGATGTCGCGTCCGCGATGGATATAGCGTGCGGAAATCGGCGAACCGACTGTCAGTCTCGAAACCCAGAGAGAGACAACACACAAGGGTGGCTCTCTTGTTCTATTTTATTTCTGTTTGTCCATCGGTTGCCCGGGGGGATGACCTAGTCAATTTCTTCGCAGCAACGCGATCGTTTCCTTTCCATTTTTCTCCCGCGTGTATTTTTTTACGTCCTCTGACGAGAACAAAAAAATTATTCTCGATCATTTCTGACGACTGAACGGTTCCTCGACGCGTACAGGCGATCGCGACACGATCGCCGAGGGAATTTGCATGGCGGAGTGGTGGTCGCGTGCCTCGAGATCCTGTTATCGGGTAATTGAACGGTCGATCGGTTGGTTTTTCCACGACGCAACAACGTTTCAAAGTTTCATTTCGACCTGGCCCCGTCATCGATACACCTTCGTGACCGGGACGCCTCGTGAATGATTCACGGAGCCGATTTTCTTGAGCGAAATATCGTTTCGACGATTCAATTTGCGTCACTGCGAGCTTGAGGATTTATCGAATGATACGATATTGCGATGTATTTAGTTTATTTACCAGAGGTGCGAATTAACACTTCAAAGTGAAAGACCAAAGTTCACGATGGAAATATTGAAAGGCTTCTCGGAAGGATTTGATAACAAACAGTAAATATCACGAGGAAGGACTCGTGTGGCTGTTAATTGAAAATTCAACAGGGTTGCGATCAATTAGACGATTCCACTTATCCTGTGTGGCTTTTATGAAGCTTGATTTGTCCGTTGGTGTGGCCCTTTCCTTAATGGGAACTCGTGTTTGAGCAGGGTAAAGCGTGGGATATTATCTTGGTAGATTCTGTCACGACGATAGGCCTGGAAGAACAAAGATAAATACGTTCGTGGAGGAAACGTACAGAAATGTCAACTTTTCGTTTTTCGTTCGTTCCATCGAGGAAGATTCTATCTCGCGATATTTACACAACTGTGCGCAGGGAGAAAAAAGAACGAAACTAGGGAAGAGGTGTATCGATTTTCGTGTCAACCTCGGAAGGATTTCTCATTGGAGAACGGATTAGCTAATTGCCGTAAACACGGAAAATCACGAAATTTACGCCGCGTTCACTGGAAAACGGGCAACGTTTCGCCCCGTTTTGTTGCAACTTGACAGGCTAATTCGCGGGAACGAGTGGATAATATGTTCAGAGCGAACACAACGGCTGTTCTTCCGTTTCGATGTTTTCCCCCCATTTTTCAGACAGCTAACTTTTTCGACCCTCAAACTAGAACGACCCCATAATTTTTTATTTTTATTTATTAACAGGATGAATACCCTTTAGTATAAAGTTATATTTTTCAGCGGCAGTGTACGTTCAATCGTACTTACCACACGTGGTTGAAAAATTGCGAACAGAAAAATTGTCAGCAAGAGGTGAATTTTTTTTCCGTGATTCCTCCCTTTGATTACGGAATGTTTCATCGGAACCCGGTACGTATTTTAGGGCCCGTCGATAACGGCCTGACAAAGAGACGCACATTTTCGTTCTGTCGCCTCGGTCGACAGCAATGTCGGAAATATTCGAGGCACAGTATTAGAACGGCTAGGAGTATTCCGACGAGTATCATCGAGAACATAACGGTCAAATAGTCAAGGCCGTAGCCGGCGTTGAAGTCCTTCTCGGCCGGGCAATTCGCTCTCAAAGGGTTCGCGTCCCACCATTTTTTCTCGAGCTCGTTTAATTTCCCCTGAATCATCAGACGCGTGATCCTATAATTAAAATGTCGTTCGTCGTGTAAAAGTCCATTACTGCGCCGAACGAAATATATAGATAGCGTGTAATTACGATGTATTTCAAGGCACAATGTAAGTATATTTTGTTGTTCCAGAAATGATTAAATATTTGGCAATATACAGGGTGTCGTGTGGTGCAATTGGGTGGAGGGTGATTCTACGCGAAACAATAGCTCGAAAATATAGAATAAAATTTTTTTATACGAGACTTCGTTTTTATAAGAAAATTGATTTTGAAGATTGAGGGTAGTTTCTGTCACGGAAAATTATAATTCATAGAGTAAACAATCAGTCTGGGGTGTATTAATATTCATTTTAAGGTATGAAAATGTTCATCGTGTGAAATTCAACAACTCACGCGTCGTTGATCTTCTTCCTCAACGGTGAGCCCTTTTGCACAGCGAAAGCAAACGGTTTCTTGCCGAATTCCTCGCCCACCAGTCGGAAGTCACAGTTCGTCAGCATCAGGTATTTTACGGTAAAGGTTTCCGCAATAAAAGCGAACTCGAACGTGCGGTTCACTTTCCGGAGCATCTCCACAGCTTGCTCCTCGCTCGGAACGAATCCTGCTTGCTCCATCGCGTAATACATCTTCGTGAACTTATCTTCCAGGGGATACTCCCAGACGGCGTACTTGGACCTGTTCCACTCCGGTGTATTTTCATCTAGGGTCGTTCCTCGCCAAAACCTGTTCCGAACATTTTTCCCCAGTGCCTGTTAGCCAATCCTGCTCTGACGTACCATTTGCAGGTGTGTTCGAGGATCACGATGATTCTACGATCTCGTTTATCTTCATTTCTGAATATTATCTATCACGCACACAAGTCTAGAGAGGATCGATACGTGTGGAAAGGGACACGTACCCTCGCGAGCAAACTCGGCTATATGTATGAATCATTTATTATTAACCTTGATAATAATCATGTAGGATCACATTCAAAGTAATTTTCATCTACTTTTATATATGCACCTTTTAGATATTTTTTTCCAAACTGTTAAATGAAACTTCAAAGGTTCAGAAGATCAGCATATTTAATTTATAAATCTGTGTATAATATCAAAAGTTCGAAGAAATAGATATTATGTGTTAAAAATAAATAAATTCTAAATAAAGTGCCCGAACTTTCTGATGAGCACTTCTATACACTCGAATTGATACATAGGGTAAGATAATAAAAGTTACTATCTAAAATAACTCGTTACCTATCGATCGTATCGGAAAATGTCTTAATGAATTACGTAACATTTCAAGACACAGAATCATTTCAGATAGTAGTTCTTATCGACTCACCCTGTATATTCAAGAGAACCAGAACACTGATCAGGCCCCAATCATCGAATCCTCGTTCGTCTGTATCGACATCAATGAAATAAATAGTGTCTACCACCGAAAGGTAAACAAGACTCGTACCTGAAGAACCTCTCCTCCAGCATTTTCATCCTGTTGAAGTACCTGTACGTGGCGGAATCGGCCACGACCGAATACGAGACCCGATACTGTTTCCTCAGATCGTCCATGGACTCGATATTCCGCTCCAACCGATCGAGAGTCTCGTAAGCAGCGAGATTGGCCGTGTACGCGGCGACGATGACAAAGCCGAAAAGCCACCAGGTCGCAGCTGCTACTTTTCCTGATAAATTTTTCGGGATATCCCCGCCCCCTTGCGGCGTCAGCGACGTGAACGCGAACCAGAAGCACTCTTTCAACGAAGTGAATCGATCGTCCGGCTCCGTCCGATATTTTTCTTTGTTATTGCGATAACTGTACGGCGAGTACCGTTCGAGAATGAACAACAGAAATATCGTCAAGAAGAACGCGAACGCGAAGGCCAGCCAAATCTCGATCTCCAGGATCACCAGAAAGTGGAAGAACGACACCTGTTTCGTCCTCTTCTTCATCATTATCGCGAAACCGGTCATACCTTGATAGGGGATCGTGAAGTCTATCACCTGGGAACATACGGAGTGGGGGTCACTGACCTTGAAGTGACCTTGAAGGCGAAAAAATCAGCTTCAGTTTGAAGAATGTAAACCGTTTTATTCGTTTCACCCTGTATAACTGTGATGACAGTGAAGAATTTGCCATATAGCAATGAACGAAAAGTGGCAAAAATGGTAAAGTGTTCTTGTGAATCATTTGTATGTTATGCAATGCAGACAGAGGTATAAAAAAAATACGTATTTTGCAATTGTGAAATTATTTCAGAATGAAAGGGTTAATTCGAGATTCGCGGTTTGAATGGCTCGAAAGGAGAACGAGCTTCAACATTGAAAGTTGAATTCTGTATAATCGTTACATTCGTTACTATTGTTCCCACGAGCACTTTATCTTGGATAGTTCACGCAGAGTGGGGAGAAAATCTCTTTTGAAAGACAGTTTAACACGCTCTGACTGCCGTTTCACGTACATGCAGGCGATAACTCTTATCGGAGGAGGCGAGTGAATTTAGTTAACGATCGTGAAATTGAATAAAGCTGGCGAAAACGCTGATGGTAAAAGTACCCTAGCTAGACGAATACCTTGGACCACGCGCACACGGATCCCGACGAGAACTTTATGGACAGCTGAACTGACAGCTAGTCGGTCTGTTAAATTTTACGCGTGTGTAACGCAATTCGTGAATTTTCTAGAAACAGAGAGAGGGAGGGAATTTCTACTGTTTCTTCACGTGAGAACAGGACACGACAGAGAAGAACGTGAATTGTTAAATGTTCATATTTTTACCCTCGCCCTGTCAGACGTGATCCATAATGGCCCCACCGCGATGTCCGATGTGTTCTCCATTAATTCGTAGACCATCCCGTTCCACCTGCCGTTTCCAGGGTCCCTGTGCCCGTAATGTTTGTCGAGCGATTTCCTGATGGTGTAATCGAAACCAACCAGGGATCCAATAGCGTCCAGCAGATCGATGCAATATCCGTGAAAAGTTCGCGTGGTAGTGTTGTACATGACGTACGGCGGAGCGATCCCCGTTACCGCTCGATATACTGGTCTCATTCCGTTGCTCATTTCTTACCTTTTTATTTCTATCGTCTCGCGAGAAGATCTTACGGACGTGGGGAGCTATGTAATACAACAAATGGAGCACGAACATCAGAAAAGTGATGTATAGATCGGTTCGATGATCGACCTTGACATGAAAATACAGTGAGTTTTAAATTGCTTAACATTAAACTCACGGAACCCTTCAAAAAGATAGGAATTAGAACGTCAAAAACCGGTCATTTGATCGGTCGTGGTAGGTTTAGTATTAAACAATGAAAAAATGTTTGCAGTGTTTATAGAATTTGTGGTTACTCTGTTTTTGAAATAATTTTACTTAGGAACGTTAATCTCTTCAGGGTCGTATTTATTAAGACCAGAAGAAATATTTTGTTTTATTCTTCGGCTGCATTTAAATAAAATGTATTTATAAATATTAACGACTGTCAGTTCGTAGAATATCTTTTTTGTTAGGATATTTCATTTATAATTACAGTGTCGGAATGACATATACGTGTCAGTATCCGTTAAGAAGTTAAGGAAAGAAGAGTGGAGCTTGTCGAATGGGCATATGACTTTGTGTCTGACCAGGGGTTGGCATATTCTACTGGAAGTTAGCAGATGAGGACAAATCGTCAGACAGGTGAGAGTTTGCTTAATAAAATTGCGTTCATATTACATTAATCTTCATATAGAGTATCATGTATGCTTATTACATACTTTTTGTTAGAAAAATACTTTCAACAATAGATTGACAGCCACAGTGAAAAATTCTGTACGTAGCCAGACACACTTTATATCACTTTTCAAGACATAAATCGTTGAAAATATATTTACATTTTGTTACTAGAAGCTGTTGCTCTTGTTTCGCATCAATTTTACGCAAAATTTCGTAACGATATTTAGATAATTCAGTCTCTATGCAATGTATGTCATGCATATTTGACTGAGGTGGCAGTCAAAGTGTCTAAATGTAAAATATTTCACAGCATGAGATTTCGTTTTTGTTTATTCTAACTGAATATTCATTCTCAACCGAACGAGACACGTTTCACATCAAGATTGTACGATAAATCATTTGAAATCGTTGTCAAAATTTTCATCTAATATTCAAAATATTCAAAGAATTCATCGTTTTGGTATCACTTCATCTACCCCTTTTTACATTTATCCATCACTGAACATTCTACTCTAAGAAAATAAATAAACGAAAAATGTACATAGTATAATTTAAAAAAATTATAATACTTTGCTTTGCAGTTGCTGTACCGCTTAATCATCCGAAGAACTTCGATCGCAGAACCGGAGAGGATCGAAACACTGACCGAAACGGTCTCTTGGCGATCCCCAGAAGCTGATTCGACTTGTTACATTCAATTTACAAATCTCACCGGTGCATTTACGACGTGCAACTATAGACCAACAAGGTTCTGTGGGATAACTGCCTTTGAGTGTCCATTCCCCTCCGCCTTGGTAGCAACAGAATCGCGGAAACTTCTCCCTGCTGGCCCTCCCACTGCACCGACAACTTCGAACGACAAATCCCGCGGTTGAGGGGTATTATTAATCTTCGAAACTACAGTTCGCATTGTATGCAACTCCGATCGCAATCGCTAACGGCCCAGCGATCCCCATAAATTTCCACGGCTAAGCCCCCCCTGGGCCTGCCACGGTTTTTGGTAATTAATGCAACAAGAAATGGACATCGAGATAAACCCCTCTCCTAATGATCTTTCGCGATTCGCAAGAAACCTTCAACACTTATATAATGAAGTCTACGAGAAAAAATGACAACACCACATTGAGTTTCTTCAAGGTCAATGCATCTTTTTTTAATGCCATCATGCTATGGTCGTTGAATTCGTCCTTCTATTGGCAACAATAGAATTATTAGATTAAATTATAGAATATTAAAAAAAAAAAACAAAAGGTATGTATGGACTGCCACAAGCAATGACTTTGAGGAAAACGTTCGAGGGTTATTCGTTCTCCTTCGCGAACAATCTCGAAAAATTTCATTACTCTCACGAATGGGATATAGACCGTTTGTTACCCGAGGAATCGACAAGATTGTCCTCGTTCGATCGCGACGTCGTATTTCCAATTTCGTAACGACGGAGAGACGACCCCCGATTGCGGTCCACCTCCATAATTGGACAATCGAGACCGGTGAATTTTTAACGAAATAAGGGAAAACGAGGCTCGTGGTGCAAGCGATGTAATTGGGAGTCTCATCGACCAACGGCCCGAGGGACGGTATCTACAGGGCCAGATCAGTTATTAATTCGTCGGCAACCTTTTAGCGGGTATACCGATATCGGAATCGTGAATTTATTGCCGTTGGCAGGCAGCGTGCAACAAAGGCAGACCAATTCGGCTTTGCCGGGGAATTAACGACGTAAATTTATCGTTTCGAACCGCTACGACTCGACTCACCTCCGACCCACCCCCTCCGCCCTTCTCACGGTTGTTTTTCCCCCAACCAATTCTATTTTGCGAAATATTGGCGTGTCCGTGCGATAGATTCCCGCCTGCGATTAATAACCCGAAAAAAAAGAACGAACCTGAACACCCCTGAAAATTGGATTATGAATTCTATCGCTGGGGAAGAAACGCAGGGTGTAAAATGTGTCGCGGTTTACGTGGTCGATGGAGTTTAATTGCTGCGCGATGGAACGCACAATCCGATGGAATCAACTGAACGCTGTTTTGACAGGGTATTCGATATCGAAATAGAATTTAGTCGGGGTGAACTTCCGAAAAGCATCCCGATGACCCTGACTTTGACACGCGTTATCGAGGTCACACTGAGTAATCACCGGCTTTAAATTCACAAAGCCATTTGCAGACGGTACTTTTCCCAAAAACATTCTCTCCATAAACAAGTGTCTGGTTGGCATTTTAACCTTTGCGACAATAAAATAACCCGTATGTGTCGCAAAGTTTTTAATTGATGATAGGTTAAAAAACTGTACTGAAAGGCCATTGACAGGTGTCACAACAGTCTGAATGCATAAAACACAACAATTTACAAGCCTTACTACTGACATCTATTAACAAGCGTCACGAACTTTCCGGACAACCCAATGAAACTGTGCTAATCATCTCGACTGCTTTGGTAGTTCCAATGTTAATGCGTCACACATTTTAAAATCGTCAATATGTAAAAGATTCTAACCCAAATGTAGCACGGTACCAAGCACCTTACGAAGCAAACGTGCACTATCGTCACTCTGCAGCCAGTCTTCCCAGTTTCATCATCCCCCCTCCCCCCCACAAGCAGGGCCAATTTCCGTTAAATCATACCGAGCAGATCGTGGTGGCAGCGAATTTAAGCGTGTCCCTCGAAAACCGCCTGCGTCTGCGGAAAAGTTTCGATGGCTCGAAGCAGCGAATCGTTCTGATCCTGGTCGAGGTTGACGGGTAAATCTTAGCGATGGATAGACAGAGTTGATCTCTTCAGGTTCGTTTGTGTTTCCACACTGGTTGCCGCGGGAATGACACAGTCGAAGCTCTTTCAGTTTCTATCTCCCTCTATCTACCCCACTCTGTTTATCCTCCATTATTCTTCCACCCCTTTTGTTTTTGTTTTGCGCAAAGTATTTCCGTCGCAACAATGCCAGGCAACTATCGTCAGAGGCGGTGTATTGTAAATCACCAGCAAGCTTTTTCCGCGTACTCGCGCGCAAATTGGGGCGCCTTGACGTGTGCACATGCATAGATATACGTTTGTTGGGCTGCGCACACTTCGATTTTCCCTCGAGGTAGAACGTAGACACGCGATATTGTCTGTGGTGGTGGTTAGGCGACTGTTCGTGGCTTGTCGAGAGGTGGAGAGCAGACACGTAGAGGCTTGGGGACCGAAAATGGAATCCTTGGGAATTGTCCTGGGTGGCCATGCCTTGTTTTCGTGGACCTC